GCAACACTTCCATGTTTTCAACACACTCCTCACATGCCCTCCCACCTTTCCTCTACCTCTGTCATCTCCTTTTGTGTGCCCACCATTTCTCAGGCCAGCAATTTCTCCTATGCTCCATTATCCCTACTCTCCCCTTGTGCATTCCCTTCCTCCTCTTCTATTTTTCCCACATTTCTCCATTATGGGATTTGTGTGTCTCAGTGCACCAATGCTGTCATGCTTGTAACACCAAAATAGAAGCAATCAACAATTAAGGTGCCTGTGCTTACTTTTACATCTGATATTCAATATAATTCAGCAACATTGGACCAGGAGTGCTCTCCTGGTACCTATAAAAATGTTACCAAGCGATCATAATTCAAATGTACATTAGCTAGGAAATCAACTGAAACCAACCACTTTTCCCATTAACCTTCTGCCTGGCTATTTCAGTAACCAGACATCAGAATGGGAACATCCAGATTTAATATTTCAAATGGAATAGCTCAATACAAAAAGACACAAAAAGCAGCAGACTCAAGAAGTATCTCAGTGCAGCAGAACCCAGTTATCCCTATTATGTGCATATTCAGAATAGGGCATCTGCTTCAGGTATGGAGCTCTGGTTAAAAAACCCATTATTTTAATAAAGAGGGAATTTTACTTGGGGAGGGTTGGTCACAAAGGGAAAGTCACAATAGTCTGTTTAGTTGGCTTTTCCTTGCTTAACTGTGGTGGACTGCTTACTGGTAGTAGTGTCATAATGATGAATGATAGTTCAGGCAATGCCAAACTAAAGATAATGACAGAATGGCTTTGAACATCCTCTTCTGCATGTCCACCACTTCATGGTATTCCTTGTTGAGATTTCACAGCACTAGCACAAAAGCAGTCTTAAAATACCTTAGGAGAAAGTGGCTGAAGAAGTACTTCAGGGATGTCCCCTGAGAAGCAAAAGAAAGAATAAGCACATTCTGTCTAGAGAAAAGGCAAATGCTGAAGGATATTGCCAGGTTATTCTGGCATTACAAAAGCTAGTTTCAAAAGTTCTAATAGCTTTCACGTCTAAACATCAGAAACAATTTAATCTTAAAACCAGGATAAAAATTAATGAAGCATGCTGAATCTTCCTATAAAGCAGAAAAATAAGAACAAATCTTTGAGGAGACAGCACATAAATCTCTGCTTCTGCACAGAAAGGCAAGAAGATGGATTAATTCCATGAGGAGCACAAGAGAACAGAAACAAAATAAAAGAGGCAGCTGAAAATAATAAAAAAAAAAGGAACTGCAAAGACCAAAGACTCTTATTTAAACTCCTCGGCTTCAGTAACAAGTAGTGCATGACAGTTGGTCAGTAAGTGTGAGAAACTCACTCAAAGGAGGAGTCATGCGAGGACTTCTGACATCTCCACAAATGAGAGTTGATAAGAGACAAATAATTCCATATTTTTCACACATTTCAAAGCACTTCCACATCACCTGGGCAGAAGCTCTGCAGGTGGTAATTTCATCAACCATTAACTGTGCAGTTCTGGCAATTCATTTGGGTCAGACTCAGCACCTAGCCTTTAAGTTCCTTTAAATTCCAAAGACAGAAATCTCTCCTTGGGTTACAAAGAGAGATTTCTCCATCCAGTGCCTGGCAGGAGACTGCTGCCAATTGTTTTCAGCCCCACCTCCATACTATTCTGGACACTGGGAGGCAGAGGGAACAGGAAGTTCAGGAGAACAACAGGAGCTATAGAGCTCTCCTCTCCAGTTCACCTAGCACATGAAAGAACAAAGCAAACCAATACACACAACCAGCCAGTACTGCAGCACTGGAGTGCTTCAACTGCTCAATGGCACTTAATTACAATTGTGTCCTTGGATACAATCTTTAAATCACTTTTCTCATTAGGAAGCACACTGTGGCCCAGGTCATTAGCTGTGCAACGTCAGCAGGGTACCAAAACAGCTTGGAGTCCAACTGCACTAGAGATTAGTCTTGTTATTCAACAAATCTCTCAATCAGAACAAAAACTCCTCCTAAAAAATGCACTTAGTGAAGGGAAGTGGTCCAGGACAGTCCTCAGTACTGCACAGCACACAGAGTGCTGGATTAATCTAATTACACTGCTGGTGCTTTTTTCTGGCAAGCTATTTAACAAAACACAGAGCAATGATAGAAGAGCTGACTCTCACTTCTACTATAAAAGATAATTAAGATTTGTTTGGTGGAACAAAAGACAAATCAGGGTTGGAAAAAATCAACATAATTTTCAGTGTTTTTTGACAATCTCTCTATTAAAATGGATTAAACGTAATTATCCTCTTTTCTTCCTCTGTTGATTCTGAAAATGACACCAGATGATAAATTTTAGGACAACATGCAGCTTCATTTTGGCGCAAACCTCTATTTTTTTCAAGCATGTAATAAACAACCCACAACTTTTCTTCACCAACAAGTAGCCAAAGGTGATGAAGCACCACCTGCAAAGCAGATCAAGACTGACAGAAGTTAAACACCATGGTGTTCCAGGTGGGCAAGAGACTCATCTGAAATGGAATAAACAGTGTGCCTATAAAATAAAAAGTAAAATTCCACTGGTTGGGAAATCAGAGTGCACCAACAAAGTCTCTTGGTTTAGTTGAGACCCAGATTCTTCATCCCCTTTTCAGTTACCAAGTCCTGGAGCCCAATTTTGAGCACTGACATCTCACAGAGTAACTTCAAATAAGAGTCTGGACTCCAGCACTCCTGAAAGACTGGCTGCAAGAGACACATGCAAAACCTTCTCTTCTTCCAAAGCAACAGCTTCTACAACAAAACAGTCATGGTAACTTGGGTCACTGATGCCCACAAAGAGACGGCTAGAGTCTCATCCTTTATGTATTTTCAGATGTGCCAGGTTTCTGTTCTTGATCCCCATGCTGCTCTCTCCAGTTTTAAAGACCAAGTGTCAAATATACCTCCCCCTCCCTGTTTTTATTTTTGGTTTTCCCAAACATTCCCTAATGAAAAGATTTACTCGACTAACAAACAGGAAGTGAATTGAAATGATCTCAGGGTCCTTTCAGAGTTAAGCTCAAGCTCTAGAACTAGACTTACCAGGTAAACTTCATGCTTGTTTAAGCTATCACAGTGTATTTAAAAGATATAGGGCTTTATGGTCTGTATGTTTTTAGCATAAAACACATCTTAAAGATGTTTCTAGTTCTGATGCTTGGTAATGCTACTGCATATAACAAGTGCTAGAAGTGTGCAGAGAAAACCACACATCTTTGTCAAAAGCATTTATACTCTTTATAATTCTGCATGTTGCTGAAGCATTGTTACCTGCTTATCCTAGCAGATGAAAAGCATAGGGGTAGATTTCCAGGTCAAAGAAAGAAGGAGAAAACCAGAAAAAGTTCTGTCTGTATTCTAATCACAGGCACAGCCCTGAGGGACAAAGGCTTTTTCTTTGTTTTATTGTCTTTCAACAAAAATCCCCTGAAGAGGTGGACACTTTACTCACTTTGTGAATTTATAAACAGTTTCAGGCAGGTCAGTTCAAAACATTTTTACTTTTGTTATTAAGTCTCAAAGGCATTTGAACAGAAGGGAAAACAGATTTTAGGCTTCATTTCCAGATTATGATTTAATTGAGGACTTTGGCCATAGATATGGGGAAGAGCTAGAACATTATAGAACAAGACACATGAAAATACCACACTGATTAGAAATATGTGAAATAATGTCTACAGAGACAGTGCTTAGAAAATGGGAGGTTAATGGGAAATTGGGTCACAAGTTGTTGAATTCCCCACATTATCTTTTAAGAAACAGATGATTACTTTAAAGGAGAAGATTAAAAAACTTGGGTCATAGGATCCCAGACTGGTTTGAGTTGGAAGGAACCTTAAAGCTCTTCCAGTTCCGACCCCGTGCCACCGGCAGGGACACCTTCCACTACACCACGTTGCTCCAAGCCCCTGTCCTGCTAGGGATGGGGCAGCCACAGTTTCCCTAGGCAACCTGTGCCAGTGCCTCAGCACCCTCACAGGGACAAACTTCTGCGTAGTAGCTCATCTCAATCTCCCCTCTGTCATTTAAAGTCAAACTACTGTTTATACATGAGTAGACACATACAGACATGGCAAAAGCAAAACGCAGTCATAGCCAAAGAAGAAACATTATGCACAGCTCTCCCACATTTCTGCCAGGAACAAGGGTAAGTTGTGTTAACAAAACCTGCATATGAAAGATAGGACGATCAGAAAGAGGATACACTGGTTAACTCCAGGTACAGCACACCCACTGGTATGAAGGTCCAAGGGGAGATCATTCACTGGAACATGATTTCAGTGAAGAACAGAAGATTCACTGGGCAATTACTGTGAAATGGATGAAAAGCCAAACAAGGAAAATATGAAGCTACAGGAAGCTACATGAAAGGTTGGCATGGAGCAGGAGGAGATACACATGTGGATTATCCAGCAGGATACAAAATAGAGAATCTCACTGAACTGATGCAATTCATCAAGTCAGGATATAAAATTTCTGCCAGACAACACTGAGGCCACCATATCTGAGCTTTTCACTGACACTCTTTGCTGTTCTCATTGAAGAGGACACCTATGAGGGAATTTAAGACCCTTGAGCTGAGAAGCCCTTATACATCAGCCGTTGGCAGACCATAAAAAATAAGCTCCTAATAACTCTTGCAACATACTTCGTATGTAGCAAAAGGAAGATTAGAAATGCTGGAAACATTCTTCATGAACAAGAAACAGCAACTGAAAATAAGTTAGGGGAGTCACAGACTGGAAAGGGGCATCACTACACTGGTTTAACTTCACTAACTCAAAAAAATAAAGCTGTCTTGTCCAAGAGCAGTCACATTTACTGGCTTGTCAGTAACCTGCCAGTCACTCAGAGCTGACTCTACAACCAGTAATGTGCTGTTTTGGTGGAGGCCTATTTAAACACTTTCTGTTATAAAGCCGAGAACTACAGGATCTACAGTTTTGCTGAGCATTTCTAAGCTGTCTTACCTCAAACATTTCTTGTTCTGTCCGTCGATGATCATCCAGGAGCTGCTCCAGGTAGGTCAGATTACGGAATTTTTCTAGGTAACTACTGTACTGTTTCTGCAGTTGCTCCTCAATCTTCTCATACTCATCCATAAAAGCAGGACTGGAGAGAACAAGCACAAATGACTCAGTGAACTATTGACCTGTATGAGCAGAATTCTGAAAGAAACATTTTCATGTTTGCTGCTTCTTTTCCAAGTTTAAAAGCACCTTTTGTTTTTAAGGTTCCACACTACTTCAGAGACTGAAAGCATAAGACAAAAAAACCTCATTAAACTCTCCCACAAAAATTACACATAGCAAAGGAAAGGATATTGTGCACTCACTGCCATTTCCTTTCAAACAGGCAGAAAGGAACCATTTTGGCCTTTTTAGCAGGCAAACCTAAGCTAATTTATTCTGCTGGTCCATGACTTCCAAAAAAAATAGCTTGTAGCATGGCTGGAACATCACCTAGTTTGCTGGAGACTTACTTGCTACAAAAACTATGCTTACTTGCTACAGAACCACGCTGGAAAAGCGTAACTAGACTTGACACCAGTAAGTGTGGATGTCCTTACACTGGAGAGCTAACTGCTGCACCTCAAAGAACACTGTGTCTGCGTAATGCTTCACATCTACCCAATACACTTCCCCTAAAGCTTTCCTGATCAAAACATGCATATGGATCAACGTAATTCCTTCCGCCATTTGTTTTTCTAATATTTCCTTGGTTGGGTTTGCCTTTTTTTTTTTTCATATTAGGTCAAAACCAGAGCATGATCTGTTTATGCAATCAGAGAATATATAAACCTGCAGTTTAATTCGGGGCAAGAAATCAACCCAAAGTGTGAATCTTACCATCTCCATTTCATGGCAGGCAGGGTCACCGCCAGGAGCAACCCATCCTAACAAGGGATGCCTAATGAGCCCAACTCTGGCCACATTTAACACCTCTGAAATTCTGGTAACAGAAAAGCTAACAGTTACAATCCAAACTGGGCATTTCTAGAGAAGAGAATTTCTCTCTTCCACAGGGCATCATCCCAGGCTCACTATAAACCTCACTCCTCACTGCTCTAAGCATTAACAATGCACAGTCCCATCACTCATGCAGTAGACAATCAGTTCCTAATCTTTACCGCACACTTTGTAGAGTCTGGAGCCTCTTTTGGCTTCTTTCCAGTTCCAATTTCCGTTTTTCAATCTTGGCTTCCAAATTGGCTTCATCCAAAGCCACATTATTCAACATATCTTTAGTCTTTTGGACTTGCTCCTAAAAGAGAAGGGTGATAAACCATGGCTTGAACTAGAATAATTAGAATTACCTTTAAGATGTGGAGCGTTCTTCTGTATCTCACATTTCATGTTAGTAAATAATATTCTAACAATGAGCTAGAACATAAACTGAGTAGGCAATGGAAGCTGAAAATTCTCTGTGGTCAGGACAGGAGTGAGCTAACTGGACATTTGCAGATTTTAAATGTCTGATTTTTTATTTTTTTCCCCAGACATTCTTAAAAAAAAACACATAAAACCCACCCACAGCTTGCCCTGGCTTTAACTGTTAACTTTTCCTTCTCACTGAAAAAGCAGTAACAGACAGGGAGAAACTTCCTCATAAAAGTCTGACAGGATACGTAAGAGCATCTCTTGATGTGTAGTATCTGAATAAACACAGATGAAAACTGCATTTACTTCTTGGTACTATTGCAGGGAATTTCAGGTTTCCACCTTCTTTTCTTTCTTTTTTTTTTCCTTCAAGATAAAGGTCACTTTTATGAAGAACTGACTCCATATATCTTCATCCTTTTCTAAGTCTTGCTTTATCCAGCTTTTCAGAATCTGGAAAGCATCCCTAACATTACAACACATGCTACAGGAATCAGGAGGGGGATGTGAGAATATTCCAGTTTATTAGAACAAGCTGAGTACATTCAGTGTGCCCATGGTCAGGAAACCACAAACAACTTTTGAGTGAAAGGGAGGAGACAAACTTGCTGAAATTCCAGCAGTAACTGGTAGGTGCTGCTCACCTATAATACGTCATTTCACTAACAGGTCCAAAATTAACCCAGGTGAGGTACGTGTGTTTGCCATTTCCCAAGAAACAAACTGCTCTACAGTGCTGCTTTTGGTTTATTAGCGCTGCTGTGTAGAATTGCAATGTACATTAACATTTAGAATTGGTAGAGACTGTGAGTAGGAACAGAAACATAAGGAAAGATTGCCTGGAGTATCTATTGATTATGCATTAGCTGTTTAAATGTGGAACTCCACTCCTTGTAATTATATGATTGGACTGGATATAGTTTGCAGTTAAATAACTTCAAGTAATCACTAGGATTTAATTAACCACCATACTTGCACAGTGGCTGAGTGCAGCTAATGGCTTAGAAACACAGGAACCCAAGCACTGGAGCAAGGAAAGTGCTGCCAACAACTGCGATAGGCAGAAGGTCCTCCAAAAGGAGAGCCATAAGAAGGCACTGGCCTGGCTCTAATCAGCACACTTGCCAGTCCTCACTCCTTGGCAGCTCAGCTATCTTGCTTCCAGAGCCCAACTTCACAACTCCAGAGGTACCAGCACAGTTTGAGTTAATAAGTACACCCCTTGCAGCCCTGACTCTGTAAAGTTCACATGGCTTAGGCAATGTAGGTGAGATGGAGATTTCTGTGCTGATTTAGGCAGTTTTTATCCCTCCTGTAGAGCTTCTGGGGCTACCACTAAGCTCCTAACAGAGGAGGGAATAGGATTAAAATGTGTTTTCTCTCAAGAGGCTAAGGGAGGCCAAGTGCAGTTCTTTGATGCACCAACTGGAGGAATATTTCAGCATGTTGGACCAAAGCCATTATACAGTATGACAGTGACAGCAGAGCAGGTCTTAACATTCTCCTAGGTGCTGCTGGTAGCATCCTTCACCCTTTCTGTTGCAGGCTGTAACTTCTGACTGCCAGCTCACAGCCATCACTGTGCTGATACCTCTTGACTCTGCCAGGAAAGCTATCAGTTTCCTTTAACATGCTTGTTCACTTTGAACACAGTTTCCAAATGAACCATGAGGACCATCACTAACTGTACCCATTACCATAACACAAGGAGTCAACATAGACTGATCTCTGCCTTGCTGAGCTTCTGTTCATACGCCTGATGTTACCAAAATACCAAAGTCATGAACTGAAACTCAACATTAACCATTAACTAACTAGGTGCAGCACTACTAGGTCCAGCCAGCTAAAGGTGATTTGTCCTTCGGCACTTTTAACCCTAGGCTGCCAATAAATACAGCTATGTTCTTCCTACAACAGAAAAATAATAGTTTTGCAATTAAATAAGTATCATTTTGCTTACCATAACACAGTTAATGGCGATTTTCATCACCTTCTCAGCTTCATTTATCTCCAAAGGTCTAGCAATAGATTCTGTTCTTGCTTCCTATGAAATAAAAATACACCAATATATTTAAACATTACACAAAGGAACTAATATACACAGAACTGAGGGTGGTCGAGCAACAGTGACTGTCTGCATAGCAAATAAAGGAGGATTTAGTGTTTATTCACCAAGGCTCAGATGATTTAGAGAACAGCAGATGACAAAAAAGTCAGTTAAGTGAGGCTGAGATTAACACTGAGCAATCAAGGCGTGTTTTCAAAACAAGGGAAGTGCTACTGTCTGAACTGCAAGTATTCTTGAACACAGATGTCTGGAGCCTGTGCTGGTTATTACATGTTGAGCAAGGTATGCAACATAAGCGCAGAAGATTTCATCATCTTTACACTACAGCCCATGAAAAAATAGTGTAGGTAGATGAGTGCAGTGTCACAAAAACTGGGGAGCACAAGCACTGTGAACCCATCTAACACAGCCAAGAGGCTGCCTCCTGCACCCATATGAAATGAGATGATGCAGATGTCTAGGCTTCTCTGATTCCGATAACCAAAAGGTTCAGACTCCTCAAAAGAACACACAACCAAAAACCAGTGATTCTTGTGGAGACAGAATCATAGAATGGTTTGGGCTGGAAAGGACCTTAAGATCTTCTACTTCCAACTCCTTCGCCACAGGCAGGGACATCACACACTAAACCATGGCACCAAAGACTCCATCCAACCTGGCCTTGAACACTGCCAGGGATGGAGCATTTACAACTTCCTTGGGCAACCTGTTCCAGGGCCTCACCACCCTCACAGTAAAGAACTTCTTCCTTACATCCAGTCTAAACTTCCCCTGGTTAAGTTTAAACCCATTATCCCTTGTCCTATCACTACAGTCCCTAATGAAGAGCCCTCTCCAGCATACATGTAGGCCTTCTTCAGACATTATAAGGCTGCCATGAGGTCTCCACGCAGCCTTCTCTTCTCCAAGCTGAACAGCTCCAACTTTCTCATCCTGTCTTTATACGGCAGGTGCTCCAGTCCCCTGATCATTCTTGTAGCCTCCTCTAGACTTGCTCCAACAGGTCCATGTCCTTCTTATGTTGAGGACACCAGAACTGTACACAATATTCCAACTGAGACCCCAAAGGATGAAAAAAAACCTCCCACTCTCAGCAATTTTGTGGACAGATGGGCTTAGGGATATCTCTATGTTGTCCAACAATTCTGACCTGGTCATTATATCATAGAACTACAGAATGGTTTGGGTTGGAAGGGACATTAAAGCTCATCCAGTCCCAACCCCCCGCCATGGGCAGGGACACCTTCCAATAGACCAGGCTGCTCCAAGCCCTGTCCACTGTAATGTGTGACTTCGAACACAAAAAATGTTGGACTACTTATTTGCTACTGGGAGGAGAGAGGGGAGATTTTTGCAGCTAAATGCCTTAAAATCATCTTGTGTTGGCAAACTGTTTGGTAACAGGTGGATAAAGACGGAAATAGCCTCTCTCTAGAGAACTTATGACTAAGAATCTAAAAATGCTTTGTGCACACTGCAACAGGCTGTATCCAGCCTACTACAAGATGAATTCTGGAAGCAGACACAATCACTTTGCTGAGTTACAATGCCAGATTGCATAGCTAACACTAGCCCATGCAGCCCAGCTCCCTCCCCACCAACTCAAGTTCAAGGAGTTGTACAGTGAACCCAATCAGGGAGCCAAGAAAAGCAGCTTTTGTACTGAGCTTATCCCTCTGCTGGATCACTTCTGTGAGCAAGCCGGCTACATGCTTCACAAAGGGTTTTTTTCCTAGCACAAGAAAAGAAGACATGGGAGGTGTCCCTGGTCACGGCAGAGGATTTGGAACTGGACGATCTTAAGGGCCTTTCCAACCGTAACTATTCTATGATTCTATGAAGAAGAAGAAATATTATGTTGGGGAGAATGACAGGAGTTACATCTGTTGGTGGCAGTGATAGCTTAAGCTTCCTGAAATGCTTATGAACATTCCCTTGTCCACACAGAAACACAAGCTCCAAGCAGCAGAAATGATACACATTCCATAATAACTCCACAGACAGACACTACTGGAAGAAGACCAGAAAAGATGCAGCTCAGTAGCTATTCTGACAACATGATGCGTTTTACAAGCTCTACAAAACGTTATTTATTTGTGAGGACTTTGCCTGGGCTGAAATGGCAGCAAGGATCAGCCTGGTGAAGACACTGCCCTGCCAACGGTACTCTGTCCTGATGCGTTTTACAAGCTCTACAAAACGTTATTTATTTGTGAGGACTTTGCCTGGGCTGAAATGGCAGCAAGGATCAGCCTGGTGAAGACACTGCCCTGCCAACGGTACTCTGTCCTGATGGCAACAGCAAGATCTCTGCTTCAGAGGAAAAATACTTCAAACAAAATAGTTGGGCACTCAGCAGGGGGAAGGAAATTATTTTCCTCTCCACTTTCAAAGGAGATAAATGAAATAGCAAGGACCTTAGGTTTTAATTGTAACCACCTTCCTTACCAATTTCCTTTCAGTGTAAAATACCCTCAGAAAATGCACAAGTCACTGCAGCATGTCAGGTCAGGGTAACTGATGAGCTTTAGAGATAATCCTGAGTATCCACCCTTTTAAAACAGAATAATTTATACAAGTTTAATGCCTTTTCTTCTACTTTCCCTCTTCCACCCATGGCAGCTTCACATACAGACCACAGGCTTCATGCACATCATTTTCCAAGACAAGATTCAGTCCTACAGTCACATCTGCTTGGAAAAATTTGTCAGGCCAATGAGAAGCAGTGTAAAGGCTGAAATTTGTATTTTCAGACTGGGGAATCAGGGCTAAACTAGAAAAAGAGAAGGTCAGAGCAATTAACCTGCTTGCACCCCAACAGACAGAGAGGAGAATCCACATGGACCATTACAGTTCTGTACACACACAGCTCCTCCATAAGACTCTGCATTTGTATGTACATTTTTCACTTCACTGGTATGAACAGTCCCATTATCCTAATTTTGACATTTTGGAGTAGCAAATATAAGTGAAAAATATAGTGAATATAATGGACTAGTAATATATAATGGAAATATAATGGAAAAGTAAATATATTTTGAGACTATCAAAGGTGTCAACAAATTTCTTACTGGAAGTTTGTAACAGCTTCCCTGGGTACCCATCACTGGGTCATTCCCTCTTTCTCCATGAAAACTCTCAAAGAGAAAACTTTTATTTTTAATCTCTCTTTTCAAGAAAGACCCTGCAAATGGCCACAAAGAGAGGAACAAGAGGAAGACAGCTCATATTAACATGCCTGGATAAAGCTAAACACCCCACAAAGATTATGAAGATGTTGGGAAAAGCATTTACTTTAAATAAACAAAGTTGGCCAATTTAAACATTGTCAAGCCATTAGCAAATGAAAGACAATGAATTTAACACAACCACTCTGACTATCTGTGACTCCTCACAGGAATAAACAAAGCACATTTTTCCCCCAGCCCAACTCTTCCGCATAGGTATGTCTTATCCAATACAAAGTATGCAGTAACATGACAACTGAGATTTTTAAAGCCTGGCTTTACACAAAGGCTCATCTGTTTGTGCTTAAATCTGCACAATAAAATAGGCTGTATACTTGAAGGCAAGCCCAATTTTCTAAAATTGGTCCAAATAGCAGGTATTACATTGCCACTGGCTGTACTCACACTTCCTTCTGCTCAAAAAAAAAAGGGTGTGTAAATGAAACTGAGCTCAAAAATATGGGCTCGTTCATCTTCTTGTAAAATAATGTACTCTTTACAACTAGGTGTCCTAATCAGAATACACATTATAGCACTCAAGAGGTTTCCTTTAAATTAACCATTAAAAATAGAGTTCTCAGGAGAGATGAAAGATACAGAAAGGAGGTCAGAAGCATGACAGTTCAGGACTGTGCCTGGTAATTACAACTTGAGAAAACAGACACAAAACCAGAGAGGTTTTCATGAACAAGCTGATAGTTTACCACTTACCAGTGCTTCCTGCTCAAAGTGTCCAAGAGCTCACTGGCTATAGTTTTACATGATAAATACATGAAAGCACTCAAGAGACACCATTTGTTGGCATTATTTATTCTCCCAGTTGAATATTTGGTGTTCCATGGAAAGACTGAGATTTTAATTCTTCAAGTTTTGAATCTCACTTCGAACAAAGCCAACTGGAAGCACTAATGAATTTCTTGGCTTGCTTAGACTTGAAAACTTTGTTTTCTTTGGAAATGAGAATTTCATCACAAAGAAAGAAAGATTTCAAACCACAGACACTGGCTGCCCAATCAAGCAAAACAGAGCACAGCCTGACAGGACATTCCCCACAGGACATGGGAAGTCAGTACTGAAGCCAGCCCTGCCCAAACTGCAGCAGTTCTAGCATCAAAATTTCCTTAGAGCAAAACTGTACTGCAGTCATTTCATGAAATTACACTGATCTTAAAGCCTTCAAAACTCCATCTGTGTACTAAGCACATTTAGACAATGGATGGAATTGACCATTAGGCATCGTTCTGTATGAACTGGAAGGTACAGGAGGGACATGAAAAATAATTCTGACCTTCTGAAGGAACCTGATACTTCCTCACAGCCTATTTTCCTCCTCAAGAGGTTAAAGGTCAAGAGAATTGAGAATTCTGCTGCTTTCTTGTGTGCTCCTCTCAGCAGTCCACAAAGGGAATCAACAGGAAGAGTTCCCTTCTCAGCAATGCAGAGCCCTCAATCAAAGACAGTGTCCAAGCCTCACACCAGCTATCCTAACATGTACAACACATGACACAGGAACATTTGAGACAGAGAACCAACTGCTGTTTTTTCTGCAGACCAAAAGGAATCAGAAGGCCTGTCTAGATAAGTAAGCGGAACATATGCTTTGTAACAGAGCAAACCCCTCACAAATGTAGGCATACATGCTGCTGAGTCAAGGAAGGGAACCTTAAACCTTTCTGACAGCATGAAGTTGTGCTATTCTGTTGCCTCCACTCACACACCACCAGGTCCACAGGTCTTCTGGTTCCAAGA